TGATTGCTCAAAGGATACAGTAAATGAGAAGAAAGCTTGTTCTTTTGTTCTAATAGGTTTTGAATATGAGCGGGATATTTCTTTATCGGAGTTTGATCAAAGCGGAACGGCACATACTTAGCTAGAATGGAGTAAACAACTTCACAGAAACGATAATAGAGATCATCAACGGTATCACCAATTAAGATGCGAGACCAGTCAGTATACAGAAGAGCTCTTTTGATATCAGAGAAAGCGGCCTTGTTGAAATCCGGATAGGGAACAAAACAGTTTTTTGAAGGTCAAACGCAGTTTCAAAATATATGATGTTATGATCGGATGTTCCAAAAGGAGCTATGGATTTTAAGTTTCGGATTTGGCTGTTGGAGGAAAAAATCAGATCGAAAGCAGCCTTCCCTCTTGTGGGGAAGCCAACGTGTTGATGGAGACCACAATCGAGAAGAAAAGAGTAAAGTTGGGATTGGCAACGGATGGAAGGAGACAAGATATCAATATTAAAGTCGCCTAGTACGATTATGCTAAAAGGTAGTGAACATAAATCATATATCGAGTCAGCCAATTTGATATCGTCATCAGAACTAGAAGAAGGCGGACGGTAGACGACAAGTAATCTCAGAGGTGTTGAGGAGGTGGCCGACCAAATGTCAACACAAAGAATATCGGATTTAAGCTCATTAGCAAAATTGATTTTCTCCACCGCATACTCCTCCTTGACAAAAATGCAGACACCTCCACCTTTGCTGCGCGTCCTGTCTATACGGTAGAAAGAATAAGGCATATCCGATATGATTTCAGAATCCGCGATGTTAAGATTAAACCAAGTTTCAGTAACACATAAAAAGTCCGGAAAATAATAGGCTAAAAATGCGTGTAACAAATATATCTTATTAACTAGACTACGGGCGTTAAAGAGGAAACATCGAAGAAGCCGAGCTGATAGACCGTGCCGGCTTAGGCGTTTTCCGGAAGATGTCGGTGAGGGAGTTCGGAGGTGTGCCGCAGCTCACTCTCATAAACAACCCACTTTCTAACGGGTTTGCCCTTATTTCTTTCTCGTGCCTGCTTTCTAAGCTCAAACTCTTGAGCTCGTTCTGACGGGGTCATATTTTTGCGTATGAAAATATTAGGAAACCCCGACCGTCTCAGAACGTGAGCATTCGAAAGGGCTTGGACCCAGTGGGTGCGGGATGGGAAGACGACTTTAACGAGACGTGGTCTCGTTCCCTCATATTTACCCATCCGATAAATCTCGGTGGGCCAGCAGTCCACACTTAAAACGTCAAGGATGTCGGCCACGCCTTTTTCAAGCTCATCCCTCCTTTCCAGCAGGGGTTTACCGGCTTCGGATTCTTGTAACCCTGCGATAACGATGCTCCTTTGGCGCTTTTCGGTTTCCACATCTGGTGGAATTTTGTTTTTCAAAGCGAGAAGCATTTTCTCAATGAGAGGATTGGTGTTCAATTTCAAAATGGAAGACACAATCTCATTGGCGGACATGTTAGCGAAATCATCCTCCTTTTTTTCGTTTCTATCCTCCAGAACTGCCGGTTGAGAAAGACTACTACTAACAGCATTTTGCCTAGTGATACGTGAGGCAGAAGGTTGAGTACTTGATCTACTCCCGCGAGCCGGCATGTTGAACTATCGATTGAAGGATGAGAAAAATAAAAGACAAGGAAGAAGGAGGAGCGGTCAATGATAAATGAAACGGGGGGATGAAATTGTGTTCGAGGAAATGAAGCTTCAAATACGATGGAAGCAAAAGAATTGGTAAAAAAGGACAAGAAGGTAGAAAAAAAGGAGGTGAGTGAGAGGGTGATGAGAACACAACCGCTCAGGACCGCGTATCTAACAAAAAAAATATTTAGTATCTTTCAGAAATCGACTTCGGCGAAACAAAATTTGCCTTTTCCAAATTTGCAGTTCTCTAAAAAAATAACGAGGGAGAGTTTCTTTTTTCAAAATACTGAAATCGTGTATTTGCTTCACCATCTCCCTTACAAATGTGAAGGACATATACCAGTGCTGAATTTTGAAGCAGGGAAAAGCGGATCACCCTAAAACGGAAAATTTTAGAGGCCGTCTTGTCTGGGCACCGATTAAAGAAATCGGGAACCTTTCCTGTGGTGATGGCTCCTGAAACGGGAAAATTTTTGGAGAAAACTAACTTGATCATCGTTGAACTTTACAAGATTTGATCAGAATTTTTTTTTGTTGAATTTGTCAACGATTCTCTATCATTTCAATGACCAATGATAAGTTATTCTGTAGAGTCGATCGATGGTCTAATTGTCCATAACATATTCTTCGCACCTTTGCATCTGTGAGGTGCGTACATGCCTCGCCGCAGCTGGGTGCAGGTGCACCCAAGCTGATTTGGTGGACCAAATAGGCGCACATAATAAATCAACTCATTTTAAAGATAGGGGACCAATGTATATATTTTTGGAGAGCTTATTGAGTGTAGATTCCGAATACATAAAAATTGTGCTGTTTGGTGAGATTCCGCATAACGGTTAAAAATTCCCAATGTGTGATTATGCATTTTTCAGTTTATCTCACTGCGGTTGGTTCCACCAGAAAAGCACACACATGCATGTAGTTCTTAATTAACAAAGCCTACTCTGTCACTGTACAAAAACGCTGGCACGTTACCATGCCCATTCTTGAGATATGGTCTTTTGAAAGTAGTGTCACACTGAATACAGAGCATGAGCACTCGGATTTGGGCTCATATATCTTGCAGGCAAAACAGCACAAGTGGGTAATTTCAAAAAAGCCTTCTAGAAAATTTCTTGCTTTATCTGCCAGAAATGAATGATTTGCCCACGAATGCAGATTTTTCGAGTTACATATCTTCAAAATCTGAACATTTTGCTCTGCTTAAATTTTTTTTATTGAGAATAAAAACCGTCTAAACATTCAGAACTTCATGAAAAATAAGGAGAAAGGTCCCTCCATAGTAAGTAATGATTTATACCAAAAAGTCTTGTTGATTACGAAGCTATGCAGCGAGTTATACGCCAAAAAGCCCCAGGACCGTGGACGTTTACCGTGACGTCATCGGAAAATGAAAAAATTTGGTTTTTGAAAATCAAAATATGGTATTAGAAGAGTGAGGGACGCTGATTCCGATGCGTTTCCCAATGCTTGAAAATGATTTCTAAGGGAGTTATGCTGTTGCGGCATTTCCGGCGCGATATCGCTCTTAATCCGTTGTTTTTAACGGCGGCGGCGATGATACTGTATTTGAGGCCAGAAACTTCTCGAACAACCTGTACTTATCAAATTTGCTTTCCTAATCTGCTCCAACATTTTTTTCTCTGTGTACATAAGCATGCCGATAACGCGGCAAGATCATGGTCATTAGCGGACGCGTAGAGAATCTTTGTTCATTTACTTGAGCTTTGGGCTGTAACCGACGCTTCCACGGCAATGCTGAGATGTCAATATTTTCATTATTCGTTTATAGCTTCACTGCATAATTCCCACTGCTGAGAAGATGTGCATGAAAAGTTTCTCAACTTGTAAGAAGTTTGGTCTCCTAAGAATGTGTCTCAGGACTCAGCACAGCTGGCACCGGGTCAAGCTGGATATCGTTTTTAGGGCGGAAAGCAAAGGAGATATCGTTTATACAGGGGCCGAGGCAGAGAACTGCCGCAAAAATGCCGCCGGCATGCCACCGGCATGCCATTGGCAAGCTGTCCATCAACAAACAAAGGCGTTGTTTTCAGCCAAAACGCAATAGTATGACACCAAATTTGGTGTGTGCATGCGCGTTGGTGTACCGGAACTACATGCCAAAAATTTATGAAAACTTATGTGAATGAAAGCTGTGCCTAACTTTTTTCTGAATTAGCTGGCACCGACACTTTGCTCACATAAGTTTTCATACTTTTTTACATAAAATGTATCTACACTGTAAAAGATTACATACGGAGAAGAAACAGTTTCATAATGTTCTCTTTTCAGCGTTTTATTGCAATTTGAAAACCACTCGGCTCGCTCCGCAGTCGAAAAATCGGCTTTTTCTGCTTCTCAAGATGTGATTCGACCACTTGAAAAGCTCAGAAAGCTGTGAAAAGTTCTTTAATGAAATCAGAAATGCATGAAAACACTACTACATTTTTTACATAATTAAAAATGATGACGGGTTTTCAAAACAGGTCAAAAGGGACTTCGTACAATTTTCAATATCAGACGGGACTTCGTTCTGAAATTTCCCTGGTGCCAACTCGTGCCGAGCCCTGATGTGTCTCATCGATTCTGATTTTAATAGTGAGCGTAAACTGAAGAAATAAATTATTGTTAGATTGTTCCTTTTGAAATGAAGTGAATGCAACAAGCCTAGAAAAATTCATGCATGGAAAAATTTAGCTTTATGTCCAAATCAACGTATAAAACATATTAATCCTTGGTTTTTTCAAGCAAATTTTTTGTTGATTCATGATCGTTCTGCAAAACAAACCTAGCATTAGTCATCTCTTTTAGCGCACAAAGTTGTTTCTAGGGTTTGGTTTTCGCTTCGAAAAATATTTCTTTTCGCTAAAAATGTTAGATTCCAGTTTCATTGCAGCTTTGATAACAAACTACTAAGTGTTACAAGAGTTCGTGTTAGCTTTAGCCCTCGGTTTAATTATTCCTCGATTCCTATCCTACTCCTATCCTGCTTATAAATTTTTCACCAAAATTTTATCGGTAATTTGTAGTTCCACTTGTAGTAAGTGTTGGAAGTCAGTTGATAAGCATCTCTAATCATTACAAAAAAAGTCTCTAACTTGCTCCTGGGAAATGATCGCTAGACCTACGCAGAAGGATTTGTTGCATATTTTTCAACGTTTTTGTGCCCAGTTGCGCTTATCTTCCTGTCTTTGTTGGTAAACACAAATTGTTGTTCTGCATACATCTTAGATTCACAAACAAAGGCACAGTTTCTGATCAATCTCTTTTTCTCATACTTGAATTATGTCAAGAAAGCCATTGTAAAACATATTATAGAAATGGTAGTACCAACTATAAAACTATCGTCCGGCTACGAAATGCCTATGGTAGGTCTGGGAACGTGGCAGAGCAAGCCAGGAGAGGTGTGTATCAAAATTTTGGCTAAGAGGGCGCCAGAGTTAATTTTGTTTTCGACCAAAAGATATTTTCTCAAAAAAGAGGTAGATCGCTATTATTTACTTGAGGTTGGCAAAGCTGTGGAAACGGCTTTGAATGTTGGTTATACTCTCATCGACTGTGCTTGGATCTATGGTAACCAGAAAGAGATTGGTGAAACTCTAAAGCGCCTCTGCTCGTCAGGAAATAATGTTAACTTCCCTCCCCCCGTCTCCACAGTCGGGCTGCAATAATTAAATTTTTCAGAGAGCAGATATTTTCATCACTTCAAAAGTGTGGAACACATTTCATTCGGAAGCCGCTTGTAAGGTAAGACTACTATGGTGGAAAATGCAAATAGCAAAGATGTTTGCAACCATTTCAGAAAGAAAATTTTCTCAATCATATTTCTTGTTTTTGTTGCCGCTGGAGGTTTTTTCGGAAAACTCTCTATCATTAGAATTGTTCTTTATAACTTGTGTTTGTGTCTTCAATTTTTCAACTTCTAGAAACATGTACTCGATATTTTGTGTCAGTTGGGACTAGATTATATAGATCTTATGCTGATCCACTGGCCAATGGGCTATGCAGAAGGTGGAGAACCATATCCAACGGTTAGCGATTCTGTAATCTCTGAACTGTTTTTTTTTTTGAAATTCACGCTTACTTTCAGATAGAAGGCACTGACCAAAGTGCACATTCTAACGAAGATTACCTAACCACATGGAAAGTCTTGGAAGATTTTGTTAAGAAGGGCAAGGTCAACAAAATTATTATTGAGTAAGGTTAGAAAACGAGTGTGTTTAGATTTGCTCAATAGGCGTATCTAATTTCAACCATAAACAAATTGAGCGAGTCATAGCAAACTCGACGATAAAACCAGCTGTTCTTCAGGTAAAACAAACTTTTTATGGGAAAAAAATCACAAGCTAATTTTTTTCAGGTAGAATTGCATCCATACTTCCAACAAAAGAAATTACGTGCTTTTTGTAAGGAACATGGTATAGCAGTAACCGCTTACAGGTAATTTTACACTTTCACAGTCTGTGTCAATTAGCAACTGCAACGCGGGGGCCTTGCGTGCGCAACTCCAATCGATGAAACCATTTGAATGTCAAAGGCTTACGCGCGCGAACATGCGGCGAGGCATGTTTGCGCGGCGATCGCGTGGGCGGACAAGGGAGTATATGATTGACACAGGCTGTATAGTTTCTGCAAAAATTGCCAGAAAATCAATGAATATTTTAGATCAATTTTTCGCAAAACTTTCATGTACAGCTTTTATCATTTCAGCTCACTTGGTAATCCCGGATCAGCTTTCTTTCGCAAAGATGGAGATCCAAATGTGCTGACTGATCCCGTAGTCAAGAAAATTGCCGACGCGCATGGCAAAGTAAGTCCATTTTTTGTCAATTATTGTCTTGCAAGATTTCATTCAACTATGTTTTCTAAAAAATTGTTTCAGACACCCGCACAAGTTGCACTCCGATGGGCAACGCAACTGGATATCATTGTCATCCCGAAGTCTGTCTCAGAATGTTAGTCGCTGATGAATAATTGACTTATTCGCAGAGCGGATCTTATAAAAGGAAATTTAACAACTGCTTTTTCAGCCCGTATCAAGGAAAATATAGACCTTTTCGACTTCAAACTCTCAGAGGAAGAAATGAATGAGATGGAAGGTCTTGACCGCGGTTGGCGAATTCTTGATCTCAGCGCAATTCATCGCGAACATCCTCATAATCCTTATAACGAAGAGTATTAGAATGGCATACCTCCACGTTGATTTCACTTATTGTGTGATTTGGCCAAGTATCGCATTTTGTTATTTATATGAATGAACTTACCCTAACTTTCGACTCTAGAACACACTATGTCGCTCTAAATTTAAATGAGAATAATGACAGATACGAGTATAATGCGAGCATTCAAGTCTGGATGTCTGTCTCAAGAAGTGTTAGAAATATGGGGAGAAATTCATATTATACGAAATAAATGCTGACAGACCCGAAGAAGGAAAACTGAGGCATTTTATCCTGCAAAACCAAACTGTACATTAAGAGAGAGACGTTAAGCGAAATAATAATAGTAATTTATGATCGAAAATGCGCCATTTTTTTCTGTTTCTCACTGGATCAGCATTCTCAGAAGTCTAAGACAATGGATGTAAAAATTCAACAAGACAGATGTGATAAAGTTCTAGCCTCTGCTTATGTCTTCCTCTCTGTCCTTCGTTCACATGAATAGAATTCTGTGGATTACTTGTAAAGTATTAGGTTGTCCCATAAGTCTTTTCATTTTTGAGTTATCGCTATAATAAGTCACACACTTCTTATTCTAACTGGACATCAGGATACCATTCGATAGAACAAAGCAGGCTCTTTACGATGGCGTTTATGCTTTTTCACAAGTTTGGTCCATCTCAAGTTTTAAACCAAAATCTAAAAAGTTTCAGATGGCCAGAAAACCGAAAATTTTTTATATCTTCGTTCAAAAAAATCCTACAAATCTCTAACTCGCTTACATATATACATTCTAACAATAAGTTAGACATTCATATGTGCTGTTGCTGTATTTTCTATCAGTTAGAAATCAAGAAACCGAAAATTCCCATGTTTTTACTAAAGTGATGCTGTGCTGTTCTTACACTTTGTATACTACAAGCTCTTAGAAGTACAAATGTAAATTTTTAGCTCTCTATAAGCTCTGGTTTCTGAAAAATGTTGATTTGAGCGTGAACAACCTGAGTGAGGAAAGCTAAATTTGATATTTCTCGTGAACCAGAGCATATAGAGCCAAAGATCTACGGTAGTACTTCTAAGGGCTTCTAGTTTACAAATGTTAGTGTAAGAACAGCACAGCACCACTCTGGTAAAAACATACGAATTTTCGGTTTCTTGATTTCTAGCTGATAAAAAATACAGCAATAGTACATATTAATCTACTTTGTGGAATGTATAGGCGTGAGCGAGTTAGAGGTCTGTATAGATATAACAAATTTCGGTTTTCTGGTCAACCGAAACTTTTTAGATTTTAATTTAAAAAGCGAGATAGACCAAAGCTTATGAAAAGCATAAACAATCACATAGAGCTTGCTTTGCTCTATCGAATGATATCCTGATGAAAGCTTGCCGGTGCCCACTCATGGAGGGCTAGGCAGTGCAATTGTGATTATCTGACTATTTGGAGCAGGGATGTTGTTGGTTGACTTGCGACCTTATTTCAGTCGAATCATCGCCCCCTCTTTCCCGCCTGTCTGGTCGATTGGCTGATTTCGGATGGCCAATGTCCTGGTTTGCCGGGGGGGGGGGGGTCGGTGCCACCGGTCGTGCGCTTCCTAACCACTGCGCCACTCCGCCCCCAAACCCCCAAACTCAAACAAAAGTGACGGCTACGTTTGTAGACAGCTTTCCATAGGTTCGCTTTCTGCTTTGAGGATTGAACACGGCTTAAAAATGGACGGACCTTGCTGCATCCATGTTTGAAAGTGAAAGGAAAAGAAATACGAAATTTTGAAGTCATAAAGTCATATTATTTCCAGGATACATATACCTACCTATGATAGTATTAAATTCACGTGTTAGTGAAAACGGACATTTTTTACTATTGATGCTGGGCAGAAGCTCTCGGATGGTACCCTAAAATCCATCTAATTCCCTGGCAACGTCTTGTCAAACTATTTGAGAACGTTTGCACCGATTCAGATTTGAGAACTAGATTTAGATATTAAAAACTGCATTACCGTTTCCGACGAAGTGCTACTGTTTTAACCTTCTGAAATTTAATTTTCACGACATTATTCAGCAAGGAAAGGTTCCATCAGATTTTGTGCCATATGACAACGTACGTTCACCTATCAACCCTTTCAAAAATAAGCAATGACTAGTTTCCGTAGTGCAAGGATCCCTACTATGATCACCATCGGGTGTTCAATGGTGATCTGAGTCATTGGGAGCAATGACAAATCATCTTTTGATTGCTAGTTCCAAAGCGGGAGTTGACGCTGAGTAATTGAATTAGTATTGTACCTATTTAGATTTATCAGCTTTGGCGTTTGCTTAGAAGCAATAAAGAGGAGAAAATCATGTTAGGTTCGCAATGTCCATCTTGGAGGGCAGATCGTTGTTCAGAAAAAATCTCCCCGAGAGGCCCAAACTATGTGATCGCTCAAGATGGGATTATCAATAAGTGACAGCGAGCGAGAAATCGATAAATAAGAGAATTGGATCTCAAACGGATTGTAGCAAATGACTAAGAAGTCAGAAAGTTGTGGTCTTCCTCTGAGCTCCAAATTATTTTCTTGACTGAATGCTCGTCTTAGGCCCGTATGCACGTATGTACATCCCTGCGGGGAGGGCAGGGGATCTGAGAGGGGAAGCGTCGTATCTCGCTAGTCTATGTATCTTTCTTCTTCTTTTTCTGTCTTGCTTTTGAAGGTTCTCATACACTGATACTGGATAACGGATGGCAGGTTACTGCCATACAAGATTAGATATTCATTATTTCTTCTGATCCCCTGGGGATCCCCAGGGGATTTCTTCACGGTTTCAAAGTCATTTATCTTCCTGAAAACTTTGTAAAAATGCTCTAAAATTATACTGAAGATATACTAAAGTACTGCTAAATATGTTTATGGTAGAAATGAGTGAAATCTCAAGGTATCAAAATCTTCGCTGAACCGCTGCTCGCGAGCCAGGGATTATCGAAAAAATCAAAATCTTCAGATTCCATTTCTTCTGTCAAAAACATGCTCAGCAGTATCGTAGTATATCTTCAGTACAATTTTGCAGCGTTCTCATTGATTTTTCAGGAAGATAAATGACTTTGAAACCGTGAGGTGATCCCCTGGGAATCCCTGGGGATCACCTCACGGTTGGGGGAATTGGGGGAAAGTCTTTGAACACGGTATTTTTATCGTAATGACGAAGCTAAGCAAGGTGATGACATGGGATCAATAGATAATGTTTACTCAACTGTCTGCTACATAGAATTGTCTCTACAACTCGAAGATGCCTTCTTTGCCGCGAATACAAGCTCGGAATCGCTTAAGAAGCCTGTCCATAGTGGCACGGAGGTGCTCCACGTCGACTTCCTCCCACGCATCCTGAAGAGCACGTCGCAGAGACCCCACAGTCTTGCGTGAGTGAGCGCAGGCCTTGGCCTATAGAACCGGCCATTTGCGGTAATCAAGGGTATTCAGATCCCGCCAATACGGAGGCCATTCCACAGGAGTGATGAAGTCCTTAACGTTGCTTTGGAGCCATGCTTGAACAACCTTCACTTGATGCGCAGGTGCGCTATCCTGCTGTGAGCACCAATCGCTCCCAGCAAATGGGTATTGGTGCAGGCCAACAATTCCTTCTTCAGAATGCTATTTACATGCGTGGCAATGTCCACCTGTCCTCCCAACTCAAGGTGGCGAATTGGAATGAACCGCATAACATTAGATGCGTCTTGATGAGCTGATTGCAAATCTACCTTCCATATCTGCGACAACGCGTTATCTGGAAGAAGTTATGAAATGTTAAAAACGTGAAGTAACGGGGTTTTAGTGCATAATTCGCTTCAAAATCCAACTTAGGAGTGTATGACTAGCATGATATTGAGTGTACTGATTTCAAGGAATGCTCACACTCTAAAGAAACACAAAAAAGTGTTTTGGAACAACTAATTTTTATTGCGCTGTATATTTGCTGGACTTTTCATTGCTCATAGCTTTTACCAAAGAACTTTAGTTGTTTTTTAATTGTTCAAAAACAATTACTTGTGTTTCTTTTGAATGTGAGCATTCCGTGAAATCAGTACACTCAATATGATGCTACTCGTGCACTTCCATGTTGGATTTGCAAGCAATTATGCATCAAAACCCCCGTTACTTCACATTTTTAACCTTTCGTAACTCCTTCCAGATAATGTTGTCGCAGATACGGAAGGTAGATTTGGAATCAGCTCATGAAGACGCATCTTATGGTATGCGTTTCATTCCAATTCGCCACCTTGAGTTGGGATCGTTCCCTTGTTAGAATCGCTAAAAGTGCATAAGGCGCGAAATCCTTTCTCAAAAATAATACTGATAATCTGCTACGATTAGTGACGAGTGTGTGTCGAAACGCGCGCTTTTTTGGCATCCAATAATGGCATATCGGACTCGTTATCCATAAAAGCAAGGTTTTCGGACTCCCAAACTTTTCTCACTATACCAGAAATTATAAAGGAGGATCCTTAGCTGAAAGCGGAAGGAATAAAGTAGATTTAAGCTTTCGTACTGGTTTTCTTAGTTCTCTAATCTGAAGCGAACATCTTATGAAAGTTTATCAAAGAAATGGGTCCTGGTGACAGAAAGGTGCCTTTTTGCTTGAAAAAACATGTTTTTAATCTTAGAAGATTTTTGAGCTCCCAAAAGTATCAAAGTATCTTGGTCTTTTGTCTAATGCAACTGCAGTCTTGTCTAGAAAGCAGTTAACAAGCGAAAAAAACATTTTCTGACGTTGAAGTCTCTTTTCTTATCAAAATCACTGGGAGGTCGTCGAACTTTGGATACGTGAACATCCGCAATCAAAAGACATTTATGGTGCAATAAAGACTTTCTGAAGCAATTGAGGAATGGTTGTAAATTGCCAAAGCAGTGACATGTTTTTTAAACTTTAGACAGTGACACGAATAGGGTTAGAACTTCTTAGCTAGCACTGAAAAATATATCGTTAGATGCGTCTTGATGAGCTGATTGCAAATCTACCTTCCATATCTGCGACAACGTTATCTGGAAGAAGTTATGAAATGTTAAAAACGTGAAGTAACGGGGGTTTTAGTGCATAATTCGCTTCAAAATCCGAATTGGGAGTGTATGACTAGCATGATATTGAGTGTACTGATTTCAAGGAATGCTCACACTCTGAAGAAACACAAGTAATTGTTTTTGAACAATCAAAAAACAACTAAAGTTCTTTGGTAAAAGCTATGAGCAATGAAAAGTCCAAATTTGGCAAATATACAGCGCAATACCTCGAAAATTAGTTGTTCCAAAACACTTATTTGTGTTTCTTTAGAGTGTGAGCATTCCTTGAAATCAGTACACTCAGTATCATGCTAGTCATACACTCCCAAGTTGGATTTTGAAGCGAATTATGCACTAAAACCCCCGTTACCTCACGTTTTTAACATCACGTTTTTAACAACTTCATAACTTCTTCCAGATAACGTTGTCGCAGATATGGAAGGTAGATTTGCAATCAGCTCATCAAGACGCATCTAATGTTATGCGGTTCATTCAAATTCGCCACCTTAAGTTGGGATCGTTCCCTCGTGAGAGGGGAAGCGTCATATCTCGCCAGTCTACAAATCTTTCTCCTTCTTTCTTTATCTTGCTTATGAAATTTCTCATACAATGATATCTGCGCATAACGGATGGCAGGTTACTGCCATACAAGATTAGATATTCATTATTTCTTCTGATCCCCTGGGGATCCCCAGGGGATCACCTCACATTTTCAAATCATTTATCTTCCTGAAAAATCAATGAGAACGCTGCAAAATTGTACTGAAGATATACTACGATATTGCTGAGCATGTTTTCGACAGAAGAAATGGAATCTGAAGATTTTGATTTTTTCGATAATTCTTGGCTCGCGAGCAGCGGTTCAGCGAAGATTTTGATACCTTGAGATTTCACTCATTTCTACCATAAACATATTTAGCAGTACTTTAGTATATCTTCAGTATAATTTTAGAGCATTTTTACAAAGTTTTCAGAAAGATAAATGACTTTGAAACCGTGGGGTGATCCCCTGGGGATCCCCAGGGGATCAGACGAGATAGTAAATATCCAATCTTGTATGGCAATAACCTGCCATCCGTTATGCGCAGTATCAGTGTATGAGAACCTTCAAAAGCAAGACAGGAAAAGAAGAAGAAAGATACATACAGCGAGATATGAGCTTCCCCTCTCAGATCCCCTGCCCTCCCCGCAGGGATGTACGTGCATACGGGCGGCACTGGCGGCAAATGGCGGCGGCACTTAACTTACGCGGCGCCGCCGCAGTTAGGTGACAAACGCCGCGTCGCGCGACGAAAGTCGGCGGAAAAGCGGCATTTGTCGCCTAACTTTGTCGCGCAACGCCTAACTTGCTATAAAAAAAAACCTTATCTTGATTCAAAATTTAAGAATTCTATATATAAGAGTACCATTCAACTCAGCTCGGCGAGGCGCATCTTCCAGTATACAGACGTGCCTAGTTGTGGGATATAAGTTTTTTTCCTGGAATTTTAGTGTAAATGGATCATTCAGTGTGCTAATTCCAGAGGCTACATACACATTCTGTTGAGCACTGCAGAAATAGGGCAGGTATAGTTTAAGAGCTCATTCTGCATGAATATGTGTGAAACTGGGCTTTTCTCGGCGAAGTATGACGGGTCCCAAAATGCAGGGAGACAAAGGGAAATGGTTGGAAAACGCATGAGAAGCACATATCGCGGAATGCCGCGCGTGCTGTGCAATGTACAATACCACTCACAGAACGGCAATTTCGCGAAATTCCAGAAATTTCGCGATTCCGGAATATCGCAAAATATGCAGCGCCATAACTTCCTTCGGAATAAATATATTCTGAATCCGAAAGTAGCACTGTGTTCAGCTCGTCAAGGCGAATCTTTCGACATACGTCATGTCATCTATATCTTGTTTCCAGTTTTCTCGAATTGTTCTGAGGAGGCCCCTTTGCAAGTATGTAACGCAGCGCCTATTCGACTTGAAAGCTTCCAGTAAGTACCATTCGATAGTGCTCTTCTTGTACATTATAGTGCGCTAGAAAGCTGTCGCAGACTTCTTTTCAAAAGAGAAAAAAGCGTTGGTAAATTCTGGAAAAATCACTCGTTTCCAGATTCTACTCTCCGTAACTTTCTTTGGAGTAAATATTTTCTGAATCCGAAAAATGCATTGTGCTCAGCTCATCAAGGCAAATCTTGCGGTATGCAGAATGTCCTTGATTTCTCGATTCCAATATTCACAAAACCTTCTGCGGGCGTCTATTCGCAAAGGTGTGAAGCAGCGCGTATTGTCCCCAGTAGATTCAGAAAGAAATTTTCGATAGTACTTCTTCCGTAGATTATGGGGCGCTAGAAATTAGCCGCACACTTCTTTCCAAAGGAGTTAGAAGGACTGGTGAATTTTGGAAAAATCATGTCGTTCCAAATTTTTCTCAACGTAACTCTAAAATATGAAGCTCTCTTGCTAAGCAGATGTGATTTTCGTAATCAGCAGGTCGGATAACCTTATGAGCAAGTTTTCCAAGATGTTCGAGTAATTTCATTTTGTCTGTCTGAGGAGATTAGCCTCATCGATCGCAAGACCCTCGCGTCCGCGTGCGTATTTCTATGCGAAAGGGGTTACGTAATTGATACATACTGTAGCCACTCTTATAATGTCGGTCACTTGCGCGCAAAATGCCGGCATCAGTGGCATGGCCTCACGTGCGAATTTTATGTGCGGAAAATCTACAAGCCTGTAGTGGTCTTTACCCCGGCAGAACCTGCTGGACGATTTTGAATGTGAACTCTAGCAGGCGGTTGCGATAAAGTAGAGCACCCTCCAAGAGAAATTGAGCTGAGCGGCAGTGCTCTACCGCAAGCGGTCTCTCCAGTTCAAAGTCGAAATCGTCCACCAGGTGTCTGCTGAGATAAGGACGTTTATAATCTGTCCCATTTAGGACTACTCCGAAACGCTGGCGTAAATTTGCGCACGCATTGTTTACGCTCTGCATAGCGCGCAGTACGCGAAGTAGAAGAGAACGAAGAGATCGAAGAAAGAGCAGACAAGCAAGTTGTAGACGTGGCGCAAAATCGTGGCGGTACAGATGCGCAACACTCCTCTGACCTGACGAATTGAAACAGACTGTACCTGTATGCAACCAAAGCTATTCCTTTTTCTTTGCAGAAATCTCTCACTTCCTTTTGTGGGAGATAGGGACGAGCTTCTACCTAGAGATAGTGCTGTTTGCTTTCTTCTCAAGAATTCGCATTTTGGCTATACCTGTAGCACTGCTGGTTTGATATGGCAGTTGGCGAGTAATCGCTTCAGCTGTCCAAGATTGAAATTGGAAACTCCGATGGATCGAATCTAAGAAGTGGCGAGTAATCGGAAGAATCAAAAATTTCACATTGTACCTTTCCTTCTTTCACAAAATCTTCTAGAACTTTGTAGGTGGTCAGGTAGTCTTCCTCGGAGAACTGGAGCTCACCCGAATCGTTCCTAATTTTTCTTATTGTGATTGTGGGAACAGGTAGCTTAATTCCTACCCTTGGTATCGGTTCTCCGCCTTCAGCGTACCCCATTGGAAAATGTATCAGCATCAAATCGACGTAATCCAGTTGAAGCTGGTTCAGTACTTCGAGAACGTGTTTCTGGAAAATTTTGCACTCTTTTAGATTTTGTGATTCGCGAAAATGCACTTACCTTGCAAGCCTCTGCTGAATGGAATGAAGTCCTTACTTTGGAGGTAATAAATATGTCTTCTCTCTGGAAAAAAACCACAAATTCGAACTGGAACTATTCGAACTCTCTGAAACACACCGCTCCTACCTTCAGTCCGGAAGAAAATAGATTTCAATGTTTTTCCGATCTCTTCCTGGTTATGGTACATCCATGCACAATCCAGATGCTTGTAGCCATTTTTGATCGCGGACTCGACTGCGTTTCCAACCTGCAGATGCTGTTTTATATAAAAAAAAACATCAGGTAATCAAATAGGTGATCATACATTTTTCGTATCCATTTGCCACGTTCCCAAACCTACCACGGGCATCGCATGGCCCGAATTCCGCATTACCGTCGGTGCTGCCATTTCTGAAAAAACAAAATATAAAAAAATTGAAGTAATGATTTTGGACATTCTAATCGAAAATTTTGCGACAAATTCAGCTTTACGGTTGGTGCTGCCATTTCTGGTATTAAAAAACGAAATCTAATCTGGGTCTGAAAAATTGAAGTGATGAATTCGGACAATTCCTTCGAAAATTGAGCAATAAATTTAGAAATAGAAATGGGGCGAATCAGCATAGTGGAAAAATGAATTTTCAATACCTACAAATTTTTGAAGTTGGGAAGTGGGGAAATCATGTGGAAGCTTTTAGAAGCTGGAGACGCTAAGTTCCAGGAATAGAAGCAAATTAAAAATTATACGGACGTAGATCTTTTAGAGGGCTAAAAAATTTTTATGGGTGGAGGTGGACACTCAATCTATTGGAACTTAAATCTACGCACACGGTTATAAAAAAAGCCTAGAAGTAGCATAATTCCGAGAAAGTGCCAGGGAATAGACAATTTATTGGAAGCAAACACGACCACACATTATCAGAGCGGACCACATAGGGCAAAGTGAGATTTGGATTTGCCCTAGGGTAAAAAACGAAGATAGAGCTCAGTGAATGAGTCCTAATATGGAGATGTCGCTTTTTCGAAAATTCTTCAAATCTGACAAAATTATCTAGCTGGAGGGATGAGACATTTTATTACCATAAGATACTTGCAGCAAGTATTTCGTGGATCTGTATCTTTATACATTGGTTGAAGAGGGTGTAACGTAATGACGCTCATGGTAAACAATTGCCCAAAATTCCGGTGCTTCTGGTAAACATCATCACTTGAATAATAAAGATCGCCTTTTACTCAGCCAGGGTTATGGCTTATTCTGCATGGTTTGGTGAGTAGGACTGGAGAAAAAATGAAGTAAATTGATCTCATTCTGATGTCAGATGGAACGATGTAATTGAAGCATTTCCGGGATTTGCTGTAGAGACCGTCAGTGAATACACAAACACCTTCTGCTATTGTTTTGACCAGTCAGAAGCGCCGCTTCGCGGCGCTCCGGACTGGCTGCGTGTGTGAAGTGGGATATGACTCTTAAAGTTAAAGCGTGGAAACCTTTTCTCCTCCAAAAGTATGGCGATTTCTCAGACACTCAACGAACTCGGAGATCATCAAAGTCAAATGTCAGGATCTCCTGCTTTACATGGTTTCCCAAGTTACATCATTAATCAAAGTGATAGATTAATCGCTTCCTCTCAGCTTTCTTTGCAACTCGCGTTCTATTGTCATTCCTGAATTCTGAGCCAAACTGGCCTCCTCCCTCCCCAATTCTTTTTCATCCAAATGTTTCCTTTGTTACTGCCGAAACTACCGATCTTTTCTCGCATTTTCAAATCCTTCTAATCTTACTTAATCTTCGAATCTAGCTCCAAAGATGCTGCTGAGAAAATGCGCCACCTTACACCTTTGAAGTCTTTGCACCGAATCAGGCCAAAATTGAGGTGATGAGCTGCGCAACGCAAAGATTCTGCATCATGTCTGCGGCGTTAGGATTGTCCGTTCCCACTTTTTCTTTGAACCCTCCTGCAATGCGAAATGCAGCGCAAGCCCTAAGCGTTGATATGCGGTTTTGAGCCGTTTCAGCGTTATCACCATAAACAGTAGCTGCCAAAGTTGCTCATCCCCACATTTGCGAAAAAATTTTCCTCGGATACTCTCAAATTTTCACACCCGAAATTTCTGACCAAAGTGGCCGTCACAAACTGGCAAGCTTTTCCCAGCTATGTACATTTTCATGCCTGTTTTCACCCGGGGCTCTGCTCTCCTCATCGACTGTCCCTACGAACTACCTTAGAAGGCCCATATGAAAAGCTGGGGTGAAATAAGCGATTTCCCCTGTCATAAAAGGGCCGCGGGCGAACACTGCTATGGCTTTTCATCATTGGGGACGCCGCTTCTTTTTTTTGCCATTGGGAGGATTTTCATGCATATGGGCCTCAAAATAACTATTCTGAATACTTTGCGAGATTTCAGCAAGAGGATTCAACTCAACGCACTTGAATGCATTTACCCAAAATTCTAACTTACTATTATGAAATTTCCTTAATGAAAAAACCTCCCTTCCTCTTCACGAAATATGCTTAAAAAATTCTGATGCCAGAGCTCGCGTTCGCGTCCTATATGGGCTTCCCAAATCTTCAACAATTTGGAAAGCCTTCCATATAAGACGCCCATATAGGACTTTAAATTCCACCCAAAATGCTCTAAAGCGCACCCATTTTCCAACTCATCTTGGTAGGCTATTGATTCGAATTCCGTGAAGAGAGCTAGTATTGAAGCGTATATCCCATTTAAGCTGTTCATTCAAGTAAATCACCGCTGTCTATACGATTTTGAGGCAGTGCAATGTTCTGACAAAACTGCACTAAAAAGCTACATGTTCCTGGGGTTAGCAAGGGTTGAGTTGATGGTTAGAGAAGCGTCTCTTTCTTCCCATCTCTTTTGTTCACAATTGGTATATTGATAGCAGACAAACAGCGTGTAGCTCTTTTCAAAACTTCTCTCACCATCACAGTAACTTTTACAGTTTTTTTGAAATTTTCAGTCTTTGGATTAATTTAAAATCCTGAGATGAAGTGTTCTCTTAGAACCTGCTTTGCTTGCAAAGTGAGCTTTTTGCATAACGTTTAGTGTTTCAAGGCAATTTGCATCACCATGTTTTTTTATCACTTAGTGGATAACAATTTGGAAACGCACAGTATTGATGTTTAACAATTTTCTCAAAAAGGTCCGATTTTCACAGTGAGTTTAAGGAATTTTTCATGTGAAGATACGTTCAGCATGCTTCATTCGCTTCTTTTGCTTCATTCTTGTGGAAGGGTTTTTTTCAGAGTAAGATTTGAAAATTTTTATTGAGATACGTTGGGTAATGAAGACAAAAATGGAATGGTGCACAATAGGAAAATGGACAATGAGTGATATGATTTTGCTTGATTTTTAAGGAAAGGTTCAATTTTGAGATTTGTTTTTGCATGTAAAGATACTTCAGTGGTAAAAACAGTGATGATGTGGTGCACTGATTGAGAAAGAATTGAGAAGATGTAATGCAGATATCAATGTTAAGTACTATCACCGACCTAAAGATGCTATCCGACGTTTGCTTATTTTCGCAAATGAAGCAAAATGTAAAGCGGTTGAACTAAATCGACCGCTAACAGCGTTGTAGGCGAAGGAATTGGGGTTGCACTTAGCTTGACGCCGTGATAAACATCACCGAAGCAGACGGAACACGAAGATGGCACAAAACATCATACCATTGATGACGTCATAGATTGCACTTAGGTTGAGTCGTAACGGTAAACAGTATGGAAGCGGGTGAAAGTGCAAGAATTAACTCAGAGATCTGCGCAAACATCCTTCGCCGGTTGCGTAACGACCCAGAGGTTATCAAAGTCAATTTGTTACGAATCCTTGTTTGCATGGAGGTTTCTAAAATTTTCCTCAATAAAAAGCAGCAAATTTCTACTACCTTCTCACAGCCTCATCTATCCGCACCGTTGTCCGCTCGTATGCCTAAAATTTACTCGCGTTCTGCAAATTTAAGTATTGCTCTCTTTCCCGAGTTTTTTGGGCCAAATTCCCCTCCTCCTTCTCCCCCCCCCCCCCCACCCTCCAATCCCTTACGCTTCGATATAAACTACCTGAACAGCTCATCGTTTCTTGCATCCACACTTTTCGAATCTAACTCACTGTGATCAAAATGCTACTCATGTTTTACGGTCTGTCCTCATTCCAATCTGGCCAAAACAGATATGACGCGCTTTGGAACGTCATAGTTTTGACTCAGTAGACGATTTGCCAGAAATGGTTGTGTTGAGCCCTGTTTGTTCCACCATTTTCAATCTCTCGGAACTAGTATAAACGCGCAAATGCAGCGCGAACTCTTCGCTGGTGCGCGCTTTCGGCTAAGGTTACGCCTGGTAACGATTGACACATACCGTACTTTCCAAAATTTCTTTTTTCTTCCACATCTTGCGAGGATCCTCGGATGCCGTAAAACTTTAAACCGGAGTGTCCTTCTCACATTCGACAGAAAACTCCCAGCCATGTACACTCGCGACTGTTTCCATCTGGCCCCTGCTCCTCACATTAAGTGTCCCTCTACTGCGGAACTTCCACTTGCTCTGAACGTGCTATTCTCATTTGTTCGCAATATTGAGTCAAAGGAAATTTAGGGGTGGCAGTCAAGATGAACGATAGCTTGTGCCAGCCGCCAGCTGGCTACCGTACACCCTCAGCACCGAGCTCCTCCCACAGCAGCTATGGCGTACGCACGCGAGGGGCACGCGTCGCGTATTAAAGGACGTACCTCCGTAGACTTTCGAAAATGCGCGGCGCTTGCCTGCATGAGTCATCAACGCCCACATTTATCATAAAATACTATTTCCTCTTGTTTCTTTCGGTTTTTTCTCTTTTTTCTTGCTATTTTCCTGATTATCCTCTTCATTCTTCCTCTTATGGTGCCGTATTATCATTTTTCATTCATTTGTAAAGGTTTTGTAGTGTGTTGTTCGTGCATTGCTGTGTAATTGTCTTTTGTGTTCACATCGCGTCAAGTTGTCGATTTTCAGGATCGAATCGATGCATCAGCGCACACACATGCGGCAGTGGTGAGTATTTGTTGTTTAATGTTTTGTAATCTATTTTATTGTTTCTTTTTCCTTCTGTGGTCCTTCTTTTTGACATTTTCTATTGTATTATTTGTGCATTGATGTTGTTGTGTATTGATGCTGTTGATGAAAGCATTATTGTTATTGTTTATGTACAAGCAAGCTGTGGTGGTTCAGTGGGATTCTGCCCTTTTCGTGCCCCTGTCAACACTAGAGGGAATAGATGGGTTTGTTCAGCAATAAAAATAAGCCGGTATCTCCGGCACACGACAATATGAAGACTGAAAGGGGCATCGGCCAGAGGAGGCTGGCCGATGAGCACAAAGAGTCAGCCATGTGGCAGACTCTTTGTGCCAGAAAGGCGTAACATGCACAAATTGTAAACAAACTGTTACAAAGAGTTAGGTTCGGGTCGTGTCTTTATCACGACACTCCCCGCCGCGCAAAAAACAACTTTTAGAGGATCAAGACTACAAAATTGTAGAGTAACAAAACAAACAAACAAAAAAAACTTTTTCCAGGTAAAATGAACATGAGAACAACGCGAAACGAGGGGAGAGAAAAAAAACTATGATGGGAACAGCAAAATAATAACAAAATGTTGGATGAAGTTACAAAAACATATAGTAGAGGAGTAAAGGGACTTAAAAGAGAAAAAAAACTTGTCGAGCGGCCGAAGGCTGGATGCGGTGTTGGGGCGAGGATGGAGGATACGTGGTTGCGGTGGAGTTGAGCTTGACGAACTGGGTGTGATCTTGAGACGAGGATGGAAGATACGTAGTTGCGGTGGAATTTTGAGCTTGACGGACTGGAGATGATCTAGATCAAATATTTTAATATCTTAATATAACAAATCAACCCCTGCTGGGATATGGGGATGGTGTGTGGTACTTGATGTCATATTCGAGCTGATGCGTCAGAGCAGACGCATAGCAGACGCATATCGTCTTTTAAGGATTTGATTGACTGATATTTCATTTTTAGAATGATATGCTTAACGCGAGTCTGCTCTTGCGCAAGAAGATGTCACCCTGGCTGCATAAAAAGGTGATTAAGCCGCTTCTTCAGCCATTTGCCTATTTCTTCCTTATTTTTTGCTATCTTTTTCTCTTGTTTGGTCTCTTTTTATTTTGTTATTTGAGAGTTAACGAAAGATGCCTGCTGTTAATGAAGTAGTGCCCGTTAGAAGCAATCAGGTGAGTAATTAAAGATATGTTCATCGCATTTCTTTTTACCTTGAGGGTTCTTGTGACTGTTTTGTAAATCAATTTTTATTTTTTATAATTACAGGAAGGAGAGAGAAATCAATATTCTCCGTAGGAAACTGAATGCGGCCGAAAGGGAAAGGGATGAGGCCAAAAAGGTAAGACATTTTTGTTCCATGTTGTGATTGATAAGTATTTTCTTTTTAGAGCGTCGAGGAGTTGACTGAGAAGTTGTCTAACGAGCGATGGACGTCAAGGGCCAAACAAGCATGGTTGAAGAGGTCGATGGAGGACCTGGCATTGTTGGAAGCGGCTAACAATGCTCTGTCGAAGGCTGTGTCCACCCTGCGACGTAACATCGGGGACGGCATTAATTCGTGATCGCTGTTTTTTGTTAGATATTGTAGTAAATATAGACATGTTGTGATTGTTATTGTAATGATAATAATGTTATAATAATAAACATTACGAAACAATCTGTTACTTGTGCAAAGACTCACCATAGCTTATTGGGTCGAGTGGTGATCGGGAACATGGAATGAACGTTGGGGCTTACATCTGCAACCAGGATTTGGGTTTGATTAGTAGGTGTAAGATGGGTTATAAGTTCTGAACCAACCTTTCGCCGTTTAAACGGGCCGTTTTGTCCTCTGTTGGGACACAACAGAACATTGTGTAGTCTTCCGCAAATTGGGCATGACACGCCACAGTCTTCGTGGTGCTTCGGTTGAAGGCACCTTTCGCAGAGTCCAAGGGCTGACGCTTGCACTGCCCGTGAAACGGCGTCGGGGAATTTGCAGCAACGTCCAGTCGGGTGTTGGTCCTTATTGTCGTCCACAGTGCAAAACATGCAATTTGACCTCGGGGTGGTCCTTTCCACCATGATAGTTAGCTGATGGTGGATAATCGTCCATCTCTCGCTCGTGGCTTGGACCACTTGCATAATATTGTCAATTTTGGCGTTGATTGTTGACAGTCCGTTCTCCATCCGCTCCTTAATGTCTTTGATGGCATCCGCCAGAGGTTCGATGTGCAAGGCGACGTCGATCTCGTCCGTTGGCATAATAGGGTCTAGTCCGGGCTGACGTAAATAGTCGAATGACTAGCGTTTATCAAATAGTTTCTTAGTCTTTTCCATAAGCAGAACTGACTTTCACTGAAACAACGTTGCTTTCGAACATTTCGGTATGACCGCCGAGGCCAGACATTACACATGTTTCTGTCTTCAGCTTAGGTAAGCCTAATTTCTGCGCCAGTTCCTCACGAATTACTGTTTTTTGCGCTCCGGTGTTGAAAAAGAAGAGCACCTTTTCGAAGTTTTCGGTGTTGTGGTTCCAAATCATCCCTTCAGCAGTCATGAGGACGATTTGCTCTCTTTTTTGGACATCAGCACCTGTTTTTTCTATGCCAAAATTTGCTTGGTTGGCTAGATTGGGTCGCGAATTCGTTTTGTTTCTTTGACGTAAATTATACGGGGAGTTGCTCTTCCAGTTGACCGGTGGGCGCTCGTCTGGCTTTTTGAATGGGGCAGAATTTTGTTTTCGTGCAGGTGGCCTCGATGTGCCACTAGAGCTCTGTTGTCTGCTTGCAAAGCATAGACCAATGTGGTGTTGTTGCCGCAAAATGCACAGTTTGGACGCTGACACTCCGAACTAAAATGTTTACTGGAGAAACATTTCCAGCATAATTGTTTTTCAATCGCTATATTTCGTCTCGCTTGAATATCTGTAATAGTTCGGCAATTTGTTGCATAGTGACCGCCTTTCTCACAGAATGCGCAAAGTGGACCAGTTATTGTTACTTGTGGCTTTTTGTTTCTCCCGTTGGTTCGACTCTTTTTTGATGTACTTTCATAGGTGATTGCACATACGTTTTTGCTGAGATTTCTTTCTCAATTTTTTCCATTATTTCCTCGACCGATGCTTCCTCTTTGCTCTTGATTGCAATGAGCACGTTTTTTACTATATCATACGGAAATTTTTCTAGGATCATTTCTGTCCACATGGCGTCGTTCGTTTTGCGTATATCCTGACCCGCTGAGACCATTTGGTTCACCAGCATTTGGATTCGATTGAACACGTGTGCGCAACTTTCCGCCGTTTTCTTCGCTGGAGTAAGTAAGGTGAGTCTATGGACTATTCTTGCTCTGTTTATCCGCTTGTTGCCATATTTCTTTTTCAAAGCATCAATCATCCATCCATAATTTTGTGGTATTGGCTGTGTGCCTTTGATCGCATTGTCAGACTTTCCTTTCAAACTGTCCTCTAAAAACAACATTTCCTTTAGAAACAACATTTTTTCCACTGTGCTAAGTGTGGTGTTCCTGTGCACTAAGGTGTCGTAGATTGCCCAAAATTCTGGAAAATCCTCCTCCATCCCGTAGAACTTTGGCACTTCCAGTGCGGGCGTTTTCACATTGTTACAGGTTTGTATTTGTACTGTTTGTACTTGATTTGCCTCGGTGTTAACATTCCGGTTAGTTTGTATATTTGCATCGGTGCTTTCATTCCGGTTAGTTTGTATATTTGCATCGGTGCTTTCATTGCTATCTTCTGATATCCATCCGTTTTCCACGTTGACTTCCTGTTGTTCATATTCGTTATTTTGAATTGGAATGTCGTTAATAATTGCTGTATAGTTTTGTTGCGTAGGTATATTGAGTCCCAATTTGCGCCCCAGTCTGTTCCGGGTGCTAATTACTTCGGTTAGCCTTGACTTGAGCATATAAATCATTTCTGTTGCTGTACCCAAAATTTCGTTGAAATTCGTTTCGCTTTCGAGCTTCTCCAAAGCGTCGGAGAAGTCTTCTTTCTCACCCTGATCTTGTATTCTGTCATACTCTTTTTTCATTTAAGCGACGAGGCCTGTTAGTTCGTTTTTGGCAACCATGATTTGTTGTACCGCTTCGTTTATTATATCTGCGGCTGCTACACTTTCGTCGTAGGCGTTTCCGTCGTCGGAGGAATAAACGGTTTTTTTTTGTATATTCCTTATACATGTTTGTTAATGTTTTTAGCGTCTTGGCGCTTATGGTGAGCGGTTTTATCAGCAACACCAACTCCATCTTGCTTTGACAAGATGTACAGGATTTGACCTGTAGAAAAAATATCGGCGAGTTTTTAGTTTCCCGGCCGATATACCAAAAATGTGGTGGTTCAGTGGAATTTTTCTGCCCTTTTCGTGCCCCTGTCAACACTAGAGGGAGTAGATGGGTTTATTCAGCAATAAAAATAAGCCGGTATCTCCGGCACACGACAATATGAAGACTGAAAGGGGCATCGGCCAGAGGAGGCTGGCCGATGAGCACAAAGAGTCAGCCATGTGGCAGACTCTTTGTGCCAGAAATGCGTAACATGCACAAATTGTAAACAAACTGTTACAAAGAGTTAGGTTCGGGTCGTGTCTTTATCACGACACAAGCAGAAAATAGTAATAGGAAAATTATTACAAAGTAGCAACAACATCAAAAAAAACCCATTCAACTACTGTGCAAGGATGCCTTTTTTTCTTTGCCTTTCTTTTTCTTCTTCAGTTAGTTTCTTTTAATTGAGCCACTTCACACCTATGCTTATCAGCTTCGGTCATCTAGCAGTCATCAGTCCATTGATGACCTTGTAACTATTTGACAATATCCCACTATTGGTTGCAAGAACAATACAAAAGTAAAAAATTAGGAGTAAGTAGAAGAGATGAGGAATGGGAAAGGAATATCGCTTCGTCAAAATGCTTCCAAGCTTTCTGGCATATCACGGATGGGTTCATGTTCTCATTTGACATGACTACCACCGTTGAATCTGCTAGATCTAGGACTTGGTGAAGCAAATAACAAATAAATAAATTATTAAACAAGAATAAACTTAAAAAAGAATAGTAGTCTGGAGTAGAATCTTGTAGAGAATAAAACAACAGATTAATGTAGAGAATACTCGACGAACAGTGTGTAGAATAGTAGAATAGCAGCAATATTGTAGTGAATACTAGAATAACAGCAGAATTCAGAATAAATAGAAGTTTGGAAGAAGTTGGTCCAGTAGTCATTTATCGTGGACCAATGCAAAGTCCGAGCTACGGTATCGTCCGAGAAACTCGTCCGCCGCAGTAGGGCGGAGCTTCGAGCGAACACGTTATTGCCAGTTCATGAGCCCGCGCGCCATTACTACCAGCTATCGTTGATCTTGACATATACCCGAAATTTAGCTCAACATTCTTGGATATATCTAGCCACCTTCCGAACTTCCAAATCCAGAAATTCAGAAATCCCACTCCCTCTTTTTCTCCACAAAATTCTTAGAAGCGTGCAACCACTTCAGCTCCAAAACTTTGACTGTCAAAATTCTCTTTTGGTTCTAATACTGACGAACACTCCTGTAGTTTCTTCCAAAGCGCTCCAAAATCACTAACTTTCAGCTTATCTTAGCAGACTCCGGATGACATTCTATAAAGATACCTACTAACAAAAGGCGTTTTAATTGGCAGCTGAAGCATTTTTTTTGCACATACGGTTTTGAGACTATGATATACCTTGAACCACGCTAAATTCTGCAATAAATTTTGCAACTTTATACTTCTTATAGTATAGCTTTAGTTAATGGTTAATGAGGCCAACAGTCCATCTTGTCTCTTCTAGCTGAGATGTTAGCGGTAAATTCAAAAAACATGGAGCTTTTCCGAGAAACTTTGGTCACGATCGCGGTGATGTGCTTTTGAAAACTCTTGAACTTTTCGGATTTGGAGAAAATTCAGAGGTAGAGTTCTTTTGTTAGTATGTCCGCTTTTCCAGCTAGGAGAAGTCTTAGTATAGCTTTAGTATAGAGTATGATGATGAATTTTCCAAGACAAAACAGATTTGTTGTGGTTTCTTTGGAAGATGCACTTGCTTAGCATCTCACAAACAAAGTTTGGGAAACTGCAACTTTCTTGCTGAAACTCAAGGAATCGTGCTCAGAAATTGGAAAAAAATTAGCGGAAATTTGGTGCGGTTTGTTCAAAATGGAAAATCTTTGCCTTGAAATTTGATGATTTTTCCTAATGATGGTTTTGGCGCAGCTTTCGTAGAATGAAACTTCTAAGCACTTGATGAAGAACTTGGGAAGACAGCAACTTTTTTAGTATAGGGCAACAAATCTTTTTGAACTGTTGGTTTCAAACAAAGTGCGCTTACAAAAAAATCATGGATCGAGTCCCTGCTCAAGAAGCCAAAAATTTGTGAAAAACTTGCAAAAAAAGAAGATTCCCAAGAATTTGAATTAGTTCACACTCAAAAAATCAATGGGACAGACTACGATCACCAAATACGGATTTGGCGCAACTTCTTCACGATAGGAAACACAAAAACACTGTGGAATCAAACAACCATACGGTGCTTTTTTCTTTCAACCAAAAAAGTACTAATTATCTGATAAAAGAAGCCTAGAAGTTGCAGCTTTTATGCTTACAAAATATTTTGCATTTCGTGAACATATATGGTAAGAAAATATCGAAAACAGAGCTCTGAATTTAAGGGAAAGACAGAATAGAATCTTCAATTTAATTTGATGCAATTTTCTGAACAAACGCATCAGTGGTATTGAAACAAATTGAATATTAGCTTAGATGCAACTCAGGTGCGTTCTGCGAACTTATTGTTACATCAGTGAAAATAGTGTTGGGGAGTCACAAATTCTTTTTCAGAAAATAATCTTTGAGGAAGCACACGCATATGTGCCTCCTGTACCATCTCAGTACTTACACGATTACATCAACTTATGTTTATGAAGGAGCTTTTCGACAGTAAGGCGGTAGAAATTGAAAAAAAATCGCAAGCTTTTCAGGTATTTTTCAATCAGTAAGATTTTCATAACAATATTTCTGCACAAATTGACGCTCACAAATTAACGCCTTCTTGCTCGCAAAATGTTCGGCTACTTTCAGGGCTAAAATTGGCTCAACAAAATAATCAAGTAATTTCGGATTACCTTGAAGTTACTACTACCCCTGCTTCTTAGACTTTGTTTTGAGTTTGTTGAGAAACCCTTGGAGAAAGGGAAGAAACGTGTAATGGATTTCTTTATATTGACACAAATGCAACACTTGCAGATAGCAGATGGTTTTTATGTCAGATGCATGTTTGACTTTGCAAAAGGAGGGATTTTCAGCGATGAAATCAAACAATATGTGTTGAAAAAAGGTCCGTCTCAAATTTTCAGGTACTTTTTCACATGACAGCAATTAGACTTTCAGAATATTTTTCGTATGACATTTTAGTGCAATATTGCCTTTTCATTCTTTTCATTTTTTTCCAAATTAGGTGCAGAATTGCTTAATGAAATAAATTGCGCGCTTCTTGGTTTTTTCACCTATACTTAGACGTATGTTAAAACTATCAGTGCTTTTTGAGCAGTTATACAGTTAGCAGTTAAAAATCATACTGATGTATGATTCTTGTATGTATCTATTAGGTTGTCCGGAAATTAATGCAAGTTGTGATTTCCAACCGCAATAAGTCATATGTTTCTCATTTTTTAATAGGTTGCAAGATACTTTTCGATAGAGCAAAGCAAGCTCTACAAGAAGTTCTCTCGCTTTAGCAACAGCTCTGATCCACCATGAGTATCGAGCCAAAAACTAAAAAGATTCAACTGCCCGAAAAATTGAAAAAAATCGGAACTCAGTTCGTAAAAACCCTACAAAAATTCTAACTTGCTCACGTAAACACAATCCACATAAGGCATCTATATACGCGTTGCCGTATTTTTTTCTCTGTTAGAAATCAAGAAAACGGAAATCGTGCATTTGCTAAAGTGGCGCTGTGCCGTTCCCACATATGTAGTTGTATACTACAAACCTTTAGAAGTACAAACGTAAATTTCCAGCTCTCTATAAGCTTTAGTTCTCGAGTAATATCGAATATAGTCTTCCCTAGTAATGTGGTCCAAGCTAAAATTCAAATTTCTCGCGAACTAAGACTGTAGAGAGCTGGAAATTTACGTTTGTACTTCTAATGGTTTGTAGTATACAACTACATATGTGGGAACGGCACAGCGCCACTTTAGCAAATGCACGATTTCCGTTTTCTTGATTTCTAACAGAGAAAATAATACGGCAACGGCGTATATAGATGCCTTATGTGGATTATGTTTGCGTGAGCAAGTTAGAATTTTTGTAAGATTTTTACAAACTGAGTTACAATTTTTCTCAATTTTTCGGGCAGTTGAATCTTTTTAGTTTTTGGCTCGATACTCATGGTGGATCAGAGCTGTTGCTAAAGCGAGAGACCTTCTTGTAGAGCTTGCTTTGCTCTATCGAACAGTATCTTGCAACCTATTAAAAATGAGAACCATATGACTTATTGCGGTTGGAAATCAAAACCTGCATTAATTTCCGGACAACCTAATATTTTGTTACAAAATCGCACAAATCGTAGGCCTTTTTCAAATGACCTTCAAAGCTAGATTGTATATTGCATCCCAATCGCGCTTGCTATTGTCGCGTATGTGCTAATGGATTTTTTCTCAAAAAAGTCCGATTTCCACAGTGAGTTTAAGGATTTTTTCATGTGAAGGTGCGTTCAGCATGCTTCATTCGCTTCTTTTGCTTCATTTTTGTGGAAGGGTTTTCTCAGAGTAAAATTTGAAAATTTTCAGTGAGACATGGTAATGAAGATAAAAATGGAAAGGTGCACAACAGGAAAATGAACTATGAGAAATATGATTTTGCTTAATTTTTGAGGAAAGGTTCAATTTTGAGAGTAAATTTTGATTTTGCACGTAAAGATACGTTTAGTGATAAAAACAGTGATGATGTGGTACACCAATTAAGAAAGGAGGAGATGTAATGCAGATATTAATGTTAAGTATTATCACCACCTGAAGATGCTATCCGACGTTTGCTTATTTTCGCAAATGAAGCAAAATGTAAAGCGGTTGAAATAGATCGACCGCTAACAGCGTTGTAGGCGACGGAATTGGGGTTGCACTTAGCTTGACGCCGTGATAAACATCACCGAAGCAGACGGAACACCGAAGATTGCACAAAACATCATACCGTTGATGACCGTCATAGGTTGCACTTAGGTTGAATCGTAACGGTAAACAGTATGGAGGCGGGCGAAAGTACAAAAATTAACTCAGAGATCTGCGCAAACATTCGCCAGTTGTTGACGTCGGATGGTCCCCCTGCGCTTTATTATAGGGTATCATCATACTCTCTAATAAAGCGCAAGCACCCCCATCTGACGTCAATGTCGGTCTGTCGGTGCCACGTTTGGAATGTTTACCATGTATCATCATACTCTCTAATAAAGCGCAAGCACCCCCATCTGACGTCAATGTCGGTCTGTCGGTGCCACGTTTGGAATGTTTACCATTATGCTCTATGAACCTGCACTTTACCACTGCCCTTTTTTGCACAAGTGATCTTTGCCATCAGACTGTTTGTCTTCGGTACTGTTTATCAAGGTTCCTCACGCAGCCACGAGCAGTCAAACGCAGTCACCACAACTCTTAAGCGGTGAGATCGATTAGTTTATTTCAGCTATTGGTCTCCATTATCCGAGTCTAAAGACAGGTAAGGTATTCTTCCATCTTAACAACCTCAACTCTAACAAAGTTCCATCTGACAGGCTATCATTCCTATCGCACTGTGATATCTGCCTTTCGCATCTCATCGTTTCTCTGATTATTTCTGATTTTTACAACTATCTCTCTTTTTACGCAACTCCGATCGCTCCTAAAGCAACAAAAGCGCACCAACTATGCTTGATAGTAATTTTGATGGTCTTATGCGACGTGTTTGTGGATCTTTTGAGATGCTTCACCGGATTTTGGCCCGCTGCGCAATATTAGTGTAGCTTTAGAACCGGCTATATATGAGTGCCTCTTCCGCTCCCGCTGCCAAAGGCTCCCCACCTATTTGGATTCGTATGATACCCAGTTTGGCAAAGGATTCAAATTTACCCGCATCATCGAAGTATATCTCTTTTGGCCCAATGTCTTTCACCAATCTCTAGGTATTATACGGTAGAGCTGGCTTGAAGGTTTACCGTTTAGAGCGTGATTATCAGTTGCTGTTCGTTGCTGTAGAATAACGGTAGGAACACATAATGGCCACCTCAAAAAATAGTCTGAAATGATTCACGGAATGTGACCTCCTTCCCCGTCCAAACGGGCACTTCTATATATCAGAATCTTGGATTCAGAATATGTCCACCAGAGCCAAGATATGGCGCTCGACGCAAAAAGTCGCCGCACTTCGGTGAAGTTCGGCGGCTTTTTGATCAATTATGAGCGGTACTGTGACTCTTTCGTAACTAATCTCAACTGTCTTAAAGTTCCATAGACGGGAAATTATTTCTCAATACGCATCCGTTTTCTGAGCGTCCGCTGTAAACTGACAGCAATGAGGAGCATTCTGTGATTCGCCCCACACTGCCCGTGTGAAGCATATCAGTTAGAAGCCAGCCCTGCACAAGTGCAAGGCGATGAAAGCGTGAAAGTTAGGATTTTGTCGTAACGATTTGATATAAAACGTTGGGATAGGTTTTTGAAGGACGTGGTGGGAGGATGTACTGAAAACTCCGAGGGACAAGCAAAGAATTTGGCGATTTGATCACTTGAGCGTAAGAGAGAAGAACGTCAGGCTCCAAAATTCCAATAACATATAGATCCTAAATTTCCAGAAAGAGAGACATTTTTTTCTGAAAAAGACTGCAAAAATTCGAAGATTGCCAAGAAGTTTAAATAGTCAAATATCATACTAGAAGAATAGACAATGAACATTGAAAAACATTATTTTAATTCAGGGGCATTTACTCGCAAAATGTAGGAAAGGGACTAGAATATAGTTTTGTAACAAAAGAAGTTTTGTTTCAAAAGTTTTGCAACAGAAGCTTTTGTTGAAAACAATACTGAATATCCATTTGAAGATAGGAGTCAAATAATTCGGACTTTTTGGCTAAGATCAAATGAAATCCTATGCTACATATCTGAAAATCAAAAAAAAAGAGTTGACAGAAATCTGTGGCAGTTGGTGCATCTATTGCTTCGTACACGCTCTGACAAACATCATCAATTATTAGATGAGTGGAATCAGAGTCATTGTCTCTTCGAGTGTACTGAGTTATGTGGGCTCTCGGCTGTAGAAGAAACGCTACAAAGCCTCAGTAGCTTGAAGTTTTAAACACATCCCCTTCACACACTCAGCCAGTTCAAAGCGCCGCCAAGCGGCGCTTTGAACTGGTACTATATATAAAGCGCAAGCACCCCCATCTGACGTCATCGCTCGCGCCAAGGGTGTCAACACCGACAGTCGTTTTGTTCCGGTGCGAGCGTACCGAGGATGACTCACCACGGCAGTGAGGCATTCGCTAGACGACCGTTGCATTCGAATGCGTAAACAACACTCAAAGCTTCCAAAAGTCAAGATGGTATGGTACAATACAGTCTAGAATACATGTTGACTGATTGGTCTAGCTCTCATTACTTCAGTTAGGCGTCCAAACCATCGACACACACGATCTTAAATCTGTTAGAATTTCTGCCGATTGTTATAGTTTCCTTCCAACTGCATTGCATCAACGCGCACCATTCCATTCATTTCGCATTCAAAATTAACATCCGCTGCAGCAAATATATGCGTGGCTAAGTTTTGAGTATTGTAGTCAATGCTTTGATTCTGGCTTCATCAACAGACTTTGCAAGAAAGCGATTTTCAAATAAAAATTTCTGCTTTACTTCAGTTGTATTTTTGAACCTTTTGATCTTTTTGTTTACTCTATACTTCAGCTTTGAAGCTCACATTTACAAAATGCTTCTCGGCTGTTGCATTCACCGTGTGTCAAGTATTATCCGCCTTCCAAAAATGGGAGATGGGGAATTTGGAGAGTTTTGCGAATAGAAATTCGTTGCATGGAGAACAGAGAAAAAGAAGGGTTGCCCGGAATTTTAAAACGTGGATTCCAGTTGCTCAAATTTTTTTTTTCACTGAAGAATCCGAAGAGTGTGCTATAACAACTCGGGAAAGGATAAGAGCAGTTTGCCCGATTTTGAAGAGTCGGTGGAGAAAATTCTCTGTAATACTCAATAGTATCATAAGTGAACAATAAAGGAAGTGAATTTGGCTCTTGAAAATATGCCGGCACTTTGGTCGGGTCAAAGTAGAACTCTCATGGCGTTGAAAACTCATAGTAGGGGTAGATAAAATATTCCAAATGTGAAGCTCTGACATTGCAGTAATGTCAATATGTGGAAGAAATATCCCGAAATTAGGACCAGACCGAAGACCCAAGGAATTTGACTTCTTGCTAAAGAGAAACTTCAGAATAGAAAAAATTTGATAGAAGGCGCTACCAAAAAGTTTCAGTCATTCTAGCCTTGCTCTATTCTTCTCCTCTAATCAGCAGCAGAAGTAGAAAACAACTTCAGGGGTAGGGGAGAGGAGGAGGAGGGGAGATGGGTGAAACTTCAGGGATAGCGGGAAAACGAGAAATATGAACATAATCAAGTTCCCTGCTTTTTATACAGTTGCGGGAGGGAGGTACTAGATAGACATAGATAGACACGGATAGAAAAGTCTGCAGGAGGCAGGCAAACATCCACTTGCATTTTACTGAAAAAATCGTGCTTAAGAAGGATTGTAGGTTTCTGACAAGAGTGGGATGGGACTTGCAGATGTTTGTGCCGGAGCTAGCTAAAGAGCATTTGAGTTCTCTGGAAGTTTGTACGCTAGGGAGCTAACTTTTAACTAGGGCCTACATGGTACGTGTGCCGTGTGCTTAGAGGATTAATGATGTACCTTTCATTAGGGGCTAGAACTTGTGAAGTTTTGTCTTCAAATATTTTCGTAGCCAAAAGTATAGCATAAAAACTTTCAGGTACGTGTAGAGAGTAGTAGTAAGTTACTTTCTAGCTCTCTAGCTCTTCAACAACTCAAATAGCTCCACGCCACATGCTACCTTAGCTTCACTACAATCTTCTTAACTCGGATTAAGTGCCACTAAATGCTTGTATCCACTCCAGGGCTTTTATATCCGTGTCATAGTACTTTCCTCTCCCTCTCTTCCCCCCACCCCTACCCTCGTCCCGTCCCCCCCCCTCCCCGGCCCCTCCCCAGTCCCCCGCACCCTAGTGGTACAAAACACAAACCCCATGTAGCATAACGCCTTTCAGGCACGCAAAATTTTTATGTAGAAAGCACTGAAGAGTGGTAAGTTAGCCCCTAGCTCTTTAGCTCATAAGAAACTCCAACAGTCCTTAACTGACTTGAACTCAAATAGCTGCACGCCACATGCTGCGTTAGCTTCATCAAAATCCTCTCAATGCTAGAACTTTTATGGAAGCGTGCCACTAACTTGCTTGACTCCACTCCAGGCTTTTTCTGTTCATGCCGAGTACATTCCTCTCTCCTCCCCCCCCCCCCCCTCCCCCTTCCTCCCCTCTCCCCAGCTCCCCGCACCCTACTGGTACAGAACAACGTGAATATCACATTCATGTGTGCAATTTTCCTGCGTTTGAAGTTTTGAGCGGATTTTGCTTTTCTCTTTCCCTGCCCCCAGCCTCTTCCCCATTAGTTACCTACCTACGGAGAGTAAAGGGGGAAGATTACGAACGAAATAATTAAACAGTTTCCAATAGAGTTTTCTAGAAGAAAAACTTATTATCTTCTAAAACTTTTTCTAAGTAGAAACTCTTTGAACATTTCTGCAATTATTGTCCTACTTTTCGGGTTCTCCTTCTGCTGACGCTGCCATCACAATGCGTAACCTCAAAGTTGCTTATCGAAAATATGCCTACGCTTTTCGCCAAAATTCAGCTTTTTATACAGTACCACACAGAATTTGCTAAGGTGCAGGCTATTCCACTCTACCAAAAGCTCCACCTGCGGTAATTCCTTATGATGAGAGACCGCAATTCCCTCTTCTTCCCTCTCAAATCGCACCTACTGCTCAAACATACCAAGTTTTCGAATAAAGTTCGACTTCTACTATTGGGATTCTACGCTTAACCTCAAAGTCAATAAGTAAAATTCCATCCTACTCCGTCTCCTTTCCTCAGACTCTTTATGTAAGTGCTTACGATTTAACTTTCATTCACGAAACTTCATCTACCATATTTCAATTTTTCCCCATTTTCCTTCCTTGAAGGCCTTTCTAGCCTGTCACACTCCCTTTAGTTACAATGCGGCCAGAATCCCACTATTTTGCCCACACTATGAAATGTTAAACAAATACTAAAAATACGGCTGTTGGTGTATCAAAATCGAGAACTTTCATGAGGGTCACATCTGGGATTTCTGCTGCACCACTTGCAACTTTGTAAAGCAAAGCTTTTGTACAATTAAGTTATAGAAATTGGCAACTAAAATAAAATGATACCAAAGTTGACACATCCTAATGCGCTAATTGAAATGAAGCGAGCTGTTACTTGGTGACAATAATGCTAATCGATAATACTGTTTATGGAGTTGAGCACGAAAGGGCGTTCCGTCCGTGTTTTCGTAAATGCAGTCGTGTTTTCGTAAATGAGCTGCGCATCGTTTACTAAGTACAGGTGCCCTTTCGCATCACGACT